TTTTTTTTCAGAACTGGGGATTGAACTCAGGCCGTTGCACTTGCCAGGCAAGAGCTTATTCTACTGAGCTATCTATCTCCCTGGCTGTGCTAGAATTTTGCCTCAGCTTTCCAGAGGGCTGGGATTATAGGCAGGCACCACTGTTTTTTGGCTTCATTTTATTCAGAGAAGGGAGATGAGGCACAGGGAAGTTAAGTAACCCACCAGTGGTCACACAGCAAGCTGTCACCTGAGTGGTCCAACCTGAGAGTGTAGTGCCCATGACCAGGCCTTGGGGTGGTCCCATGTACCTGATTTTGGAGTCTTTGCCTAGTTTGAGATCAGGCGCTCTGTCACCCACTCCCGAAGGCCACTCAGCCAGAGGCTGAGATTGCAGGGATCCCACTGGTTTTGCACTTTTTCGGGCATAGTTGTGCACCCGTGGATTGCAGCTCTGGCTGGCTCCGTGACCGCTGGCACCAGCCACTTTCAGGGCATCCGCTGACGCTGGCAGAGGACAGCGCGGCCCCAAGTCCCAGAATCTCTCAAACGCCCTTTACAGAGCCTCCTCAACGACCTATTCATTTCCCCTCCTGTCATTTGTCTCTGCCATCGAAAAATGCCTGCCGAGAGCTATTTTGCATTTCCTCCCTCTATTTTGTGTTTTCTTTAAAAGGGAAGGAAAACGTTGGCTGCGGGCCTCAGTGACTTAGATCTGCGAACCAGCCGTGAGCTCTGTATTTTGAAAAACCAGATCTTTTCCAAACGCGGGCCCCAAATGCCTAGGTGTGATTTATTTTTTAAAACACATGCACTGGGGCAGAGAAAAGGTCCTGGGGAGAATTTGGGAGCTGGAGGTTTTGCAATTTAAAGCGAGCCTGGTGGCCTGGGTGTGGGGAAAGGGCGCCTGGAGCCAGCCGCACCGGGCTGGCGGGGCAGCTTTCGCTCTCCTCCAGCTCCCTGCTGGCAGCGTCCCTGTTTCATGCCCATGCATATTACAAATGGCACTAAGGGACACCTAAGTGCGGGAGAACTTCAGTGAAAGCCCGTGGCGAGGCGAAGTCAACAGTCGCGCTGTGGCTTCCGTGCATGTTTAATTCCTTTAGTGGTGGGCTGGTGGTCATCCTTGCACTAATTATACCTGCAAGTGAGTTAGATAATTTGAAAATTTGAAGGCATATTCCACACTTTCCATGAAGAATATGATTTATTTTTGCTACCGCTGGTGAGTTTTAGAACTTAATGATGATAACTTTTTCCCGTTTCCTGGCTTTCCTAGTTTTTCTGGAGGATTTACTCCACTCAGTGTATCTTTTTAATGATTTTGGAGTTAAGCAACATGCAGAATAAGCCAAAGCATTTAAAATTTTAGAAATGGCTTTTTAGTTCAGGTTTCTGAAATGTCACAGGAATACTTGGGAAAATATTTTGTAGCTGAGTTAGAAACCCAAAAGTGAGGCCTGGAATCAAAATGCTCGCTTCATCCTTAACGGAGAAAGCTAATGACAGCTTACTGGCGAAGGAAGGATCGTTGCGGCAGATTGTGTTTTAGCAAACTGTATTTTTGCAGCAAGTTGCATTTGAAACAGCAAAGTGTAAGGCTATCTTTTTCAAGTTTTACTTCTGCTACATTGTTTCTTTCCTAACCCCCCACAAGGAAAGGGGGGTGAGAGGGCCCAAAGGTAATCTGGTTTCAATTACATGCTGTAAAAATAGAATTTGTGGCCAGAAATTAATTTGGAATATTTTTTATGGGCGTAGTATTGAGGGTTGCATGGGTCTTTCACCGGCTTTATTGCTTTTCTTTGGTTCTGGATCTAAAATATATGAATGAGTAAATAAAAGTTTCCTTTTTCAAAAATTATTTAGTCTTTTTATCCTTAACACATAAATATAATCATTACCTTTTTATTTTTCTGAAGTACTACTTATAATTTTATTTTATTTTTGGAAGTCTGGCCAATTTAGGCAAAAATTACAATTTCATTTGGCTAGTTTTAATATTTCAGAAGTTGATACTTTTTCTCCTTGACTTTGGCAAAGGTTATTTGATCTCTTACAAAGCCTTAATAGTTAATTCTGTAGACATCGTCTGGTAAAATATTAGGTATTTTGTTTTATTTTCTGGGGATTGGTAGTGGTTGGAATTTATTATTCAAATGGTACTTTAGGGTAACTAGAAAATTGTGGCAAATAAAGCATATGTCCTCGTGGTATAAATGAGTCTAATTGTGACATTAAATGGTCCATAGAGTGGTAGATGTTCCCCTAAGAATCATAGAGCTCCGGATTTGTGCCGAGTGCTAAAGTAACCCCAAACAATAAAGCTACTAAACTCAAACGGAGCAGGATAGGAATTCTCAAATGTTTTGCATGATTTTTGTGGTGTGCATGTGATATTGTTTTTCAAGTACTTTAAAAGCATCTGAGAGCCTGGCTTCGGGAATAAACCTTGAATATTGTTACCCGAAGTCCTTAGGACCCTGTGCCTCCCCTCCCCATTTTTATTTATTCCTGGGTAATTCCTTCTTTCCCTGTGCAAAGAATGGAACCGAGGTCTTCAGGCACGCGAGGCAAGTGCTACACTCCTAGCCTGGAATGTTTTGTGTGGGCAGCGCAGTGACTGTGCGGGTGCTAGGTTTACCTCTAATGCGGAACTATCCATCTCTTACCCGGACACTTTCTCTTTTACAGACTTTGGATGGATTTGTCTTTGTGGTAGCATCTGATGGCAAAATCATGTATATATCCGAGACAGCTTCTGTACATTTAGGCTTGTCCCAGGTAGGTATTGCCTAATTTTATGTTCAATGAAATCGTTCAGTGAAGTGTTACTGGATCTTGACTTCCTCGTTCAACCTGCAAATGGGTCCGTTTTGGCGTGCGCTTTGGGTAATGAACATAATCCATAACTGCAACACTCCACAGTGGGCTTCTGCTTATTGCTGCATTGCACTTTTTAAAACTTTCTTTTTCTTTTGGTGTTAATGACCAGTATGTCTTTGCCCTCAGCCTCATCCTGAGATTGTGTCCACTGCTTATGGGCTGTCTCCTAGTAATGTCCAAGGGCACAGAGCTTCCCCAAGGGGCCACCTGTCAGGGTGCACACGGTAGGTTCTCACATGACCTTGAGGCAAGGTACGCTGACTAGAGCTCGCGTTGCCAGCCATGTGTGCTCTGGGGAGACAGGAAGGGAAGGATATATTTATGGGTGTTCGTGTGGAATTTGGGGTCATTTTTTCTGAGTTTTTCCAGTTTTAGTAAAGCATTTTATATGCTTATCATAGAAACTCATAACACTTAGCTAGTTTACTACTGGTTTGCCTGTTAAGATCCTGCTTCTTTAGAACATTCCATTCTTACCAGCTGTCCTGGGAAAGGGGACCTATCTTCTGACAATGGCACATCCCTCAGAGGAGAGCAGTGCCCTGCTTGTCCACGGCAGCGAGATGAGCTTTGGTGGCAGACCAGCTGCTGGCTGAGCCTGTGTGCTTCGGGACAGGGTAGACAGACAGATCATCCCCGGCACACGCACGTGTGACTCAGTAAGTGTGGCACCTGGTGCTGCACGTCACACTTTTATACGGGTAGGGACTAAATGTTCCTTTACATCGTGAGCGACCAGCAGGACTTTCCATCCATCCACAGGAGGACAGTAGAGTTAAGGAAAGATGGAGAAAATGTAAGCAGTGTGCCACCAGCCTCCTGTTAGAAGTAGAGCCAAAATGAAACGTGCCTATCCACGTGGCTTGAGTTTTCTCACAAAAAGCAAAATCACCACACTGGAGTTCTCTCTCTCTCTCTTTTTTTTTTTTTTTCCTGCTCTTACATGTTTGAAAACCCACTGACTGACACTCTCCTCTCCCAATGGCTGTCGGCCCTTCCACTCACCTGGGTTTAGGTGCCTATGTGTTTTTTACGCAAAGCCCTTTGAAGTGAATTGCATCTTAAAATTGCTTGGAGCTTTCTTTTCTGTCTAGGAGACCTGCTCTCCCGAGCACAGTTTGCTAAGCTTGTTACCCCTTGTCCTGTACGACCTGTGCTGCTGGTGTACTTGTGGGATGGGAAATACTGCGGAGAATATGAAATTTACTATTTCTGTGGCGCGGGGCTTCGTGCCTCAGTGGTGGAGCACACGCCCGGCTCCCTCACAATTCCTATTCCTCCATTTTCCGTGGCTGTTATTCTCCAGGTGCCCACTTTGCCCTATTTAGAATTAATCAGGCTCCTTAGTTTTATCCAGATTAGTCTCTATTATTGACAAATTATGGCTGAATGACCCTGATAGGATTATTTACTTTTTTCAATTGAAATTTATGGAACCACGGCGAGCCTTACAGTAGTGCCAATGAACATAACAGAACGTTGTGTACTTTTAAGATGACTGGTAAAAAAGTGTTTACTATTGTTGAATGTTAAATTTATTATTATTACTTTAAATTTATTATTTTAATGGCTATTTTATTTCATATTTTTGCCAGCTCAGCCTGCCTTGAGGGTGGGGCTGGCATGGCATGCGGTGCCACGGATTGAACCCAGGTCTCCTGCGCGTGTCTAAGCTTGCCTACGCAGGCACTTTAGATCACTGAGCTATCTATCTCACTGGTCCTTAAATTTATTTTTTAAAATTTATTTATTTTATTTTATTTTATTTTCAAAGTTTTATTGATAAACAGATAGCAGTGAGACAGTTTCAAATCCAATCAGAAGTACAGTTTCAACAAATAATACACTGCATATATTCTTCTTAATGGTTAATTGCTGTACAAGAAGTGGACTTGTGATCCTATTTACAAACACCATTAGAACAAATCATTCTATTCATTAAGAGAATGCAACTATATATCTATCCTAACCACTTGGAATACACAGATACAAAATGGACATTCATCGGTATACCCCATTTTTTCTAAGTTCCGTTATTGAATATTATAGGTGTGTAAACTCAGCAAAATATTCTAAAAGAGTCCAGTAGCCCATAATAGCATTGGGTCTTCTGTTTAACTGGCAATGTCAGAAATTATTGACCTGAGTCCCCCACAGCTCAACATAACAGCATGGCTTTATTTCCTATATTTTGTCTTCATACTTTTCTACTGGATGGTTAAGACCAAGGTAAAGCAGGACCTGTGCAACAAGAGCTGTAGCTTTTTGGTCTGAGAAGGTCAGTGAAATGTCTTCAGGATTTATCTTGAGATCCCGTACCTCAGATTGTAGAACCTTTGTCAGTGCAGCCATGTGGATGAGTCACGGCCATTGCTTGGCCAATGTGCTCTCTGTGAAAGCCTGAGAGAGTGTCTTCTCCCCACGTGACTCTCCTTAGGCACACTCTATGTCATCGATCACTTTCCTCTTTGGCCCCATAATCTTCTTGATCAGAAAATTTGGGACACTACCGAGGTACATGACATTACAGTACAAGTTCTCATATGTCCTGAGTCTTAATTGACCTTAGAAGGTTAGGGCCAAAATGTTGGCATTCCTTGTAGCCCTCCTTTTTCTCTAATTTTGGTCTGCAAACTTACGTTGTTAACCATCCAGAAGACAAGCTTATTGTTATTATTATCAAACGATTTAGGCTCTTAAGCTTAACCTCACTATCTCACTGCATAAAATTTATTTATTTTATTTTTTTGGCAGTACTAGGAATTGAACTCAGGACCTTGCACTCACTAGGCAAGCACTTATTCTACTGAGCTATCTCCCTGGCTCCTGAATGTTAAATTTAGATCTGAGCTCCCTAGCCATCAAAGCAGAAAGGGGAAATGTACCCAGTTGTATGGTTTTGTCTTAACAGGACAGGCATTTAGTGTCATGGAACTATAAATAATAAAACAAGGCCAGCTCCATTCCTCTAGATCTTCCTCCCTTCCTTCCTTCCTTCCTTCCTTCCTTCCTTCCTTCCTTCCTTCTTTTCTCCCTCCCTCCCTCCCTCCCTGTCTCCCTCTCCCTCCCTACCTCTCCCCCTCATGTCCTCATAATTACTTGTTTTTGTGCACCTTCCATGACAGTCCAGTTCATGTAACCCAGTGACTCAATCTACCATCCAATTTTCTGTCATTTTCCCTTTCTACGTATGAAATAGACAGGGCTAATTATGAATCCAGTAATTAAGAACTATTGAGATGCTAGGGAGCAGGGCCCTCCAGCTAGGCCCTTTGTTCATGGTTAGCACTATGGGAGGAAATCTAGGCAGCCCTGGCATAAAGATATTGTGTCCCCTTTTGATCGTATGCAGAAACAGAACTTGTATCATCATGCCGAGGGGAGAGAGGGACCAGGCACTGCCATTTTCTTGGAAGTTGTAGACGTACTGTTTATCTGTTTCTAGTAGGAGAGCCAGCTTTAAAAAGATAAGCCAAAGTGATTATGTACAGTGACCGATATTTTCCGATATTTTCCTGACTCTTCTGTGAGGCCGGGTGAGCCTTCCTCCACATCTACAAATGTTCTGTAGGGGCTAGTTAAGGAAGCAGCAGGGACCTGCGCTCCAGTCTGGGTCTGTTCATGATTAACTCCACAGGAGGAAGCTAGGCAGGATCGCCATGCGTGTTTTTTTTCTGTCTTCTTCACTAACACAGTAAGATGCACTATTGAATAGGATGCCACATACCCAACTGCTCTTTTAAAAATGTTTTGTACCTTTTAGATTATTGTTTGATTAACAAAATATCAGGCATATATAACAAACATAAAAACATTATTAAAATAGTGTATAGGTTGGGGAGCTAGCTTAGTGGGAGTGTGCCTGCTCACTGTACATGAGGCCCTGGCTTCCATCTTCAGCCCTGGAAAACAACTGGCTTAAAGTTTTTTAGCAAAAGAAGTCACCAGAGATTGAAAAAAAAAAAAAAAAAGTAGGGGCCTGGAGATGTAAATCCATGGAAGAAAGTGTGTTACATCTTCACAACATTGTGGGTGCGATGCCTAACACAAACCCACTGAAATGTTCAATAGAATTTTATCCAATAAGCAGAAAAAAACCTTTAAATATATTTCTTGTTGAACGTCAATAGCCATACCAACTTATACTTACTTGGAGCTCTTCTCTGTTGTTTTGTTTGAACCAACCAGGAATCAAACTCAGGACCTTACGCTTGCCAGGCAGGTGCTTGTGCTGCTGAGCTATATCCCCAGCCCACCTCTTTGCTCTTTCAGTCACTCTCAATAACATTCTCGCCTTAGTGAGGTTTGTTTTAGGTCGAAGTTAAACTCTCTGTTAGTGGCTATGGGGAACATAAGCCCATAGCTTTGTTATAATCATGTGGCCATTTAAGGCAAAAGGGATTGATCTGTCTTGTTCTGGTTTTGGTCTGAACTATCCAAATAACTATCAGAATTATCAATTTGAAAATTCAGTGATTTTTATATGCTATAAGTCCAATTCACTGAAAGCCTCTTTTTTCTTTTCTTGTTGTGAGCAGAATATTTTTATTGGGGGAAAGAAAGCTCCTGTCTGAGAGAGGGACAGGAGGGGGGTCTGAGCAGGTGGTTCCCCTCTTTTTTAAAGCCTCTTATAGGTTTTTTGGGCTTTTTTTTTTTTTTTTTGCGGTATCTGGGATTGAACTCAGAACCTTGCACAAGCAGGTGCTTCTGCTGCTGAGTTATCTTCCTGGTCCTAAAGCTTCTTTTTTTTTTTTTTTTTCCAAAGGGACTTTTTTTGGTCTTATTTTCACTATTTTCTTTTTTGGTACCGGGAATCGAACTCGGGGCCTCGCGCTTGCTAGGCAGGCGCTGCGCCACCAAGCCACATCCCCAGCCCCTAAAGCTTCTTATTAAACTTCTTTTTATATGTATTGAACTAAGAGATCTACTCCCCACAACAGGGTATATTAGTTTATTTTTATTTTTAAGCTAGTTTACATGCAATCATTATTGTAAACTGTACTACAGAAATGACAGGGATAATCGCAAAATGCAAGTTGTCCCTTCAGCTCAGGTGTGGCGACACGCTGTGTACACACGAATGAAGAAGAAGCACGTAAATGGATCTGCAGTGGGGACTGAAGGGAGCACTTTAGCCATACATGCTTACTAAGTGATTTGTTCCTTGTTGTTATTTTTTAAATAATGCAATTCTTTTTACTCATATTCGAGGCAGTGGGGGAAAGCCCTAGATAGCTGTTCTCTGTATACACATTTAGGGTTCCTTATGGTTCAGATTTCCTTACCAAAGTTGCGTGCCTTGTACAACACCTATGTAACCAATATGCGTTTTCAAAGAAACACAGACATGTATGAAATAGCTGTTTATGAGACACATAAAGAAAAATGTATATTTAAGATTGATGCCGGAAGCACAACCATAAAAATAGAGCTGGTGTTGCTTAAGACACAAGACCCGCTTCTCTCGCTTCAGAAGGAAAGGAAAAAGGATAGCGTTCTATGTTTGTTGACTTAACTTGAATCCTGAAACCCAAACCATCTTATTTTAAAATGCTTAATTCACCATACTCAGCAGAGCACCCCCAACAGCATGCGGCATGTTTTCCAAGGGCCGAGTGTCCAGCCCTGACACGCCGTGCGGACTTCAGGGCTGCGTCTATCATCTGCTGCTTTCTTGGCAGGAAGCAGAGCTATTCGGCAAAACATAAAAAGCTCCCAGTGGAAAGTCATTCATGTTGGAGTTAGCGGGGTTTTGCAAATACTAAAATATCACATGGAAGTTCTGCTTTAATAAGGCTATTGTGTGAGGCCTGCCGGAGTTTTATAGCAATAATTCTCTCTCATTGTGATTAGATAGATAGATAGATAGATAGATAGATAGATAGATAGATGATAGAGAGAGAGATAGAGACAGAGACAGAGACACAGAGACAGAGACAGAGAAACAGAGACAGAGAGAGAGAGAGAGAGAGAGAGAGAGAGAGAGAGAGAGATTTATTCCAGCATTTGAAAGCATGAAGAGATATATAAGTACAGGAAATACCATGTCAACCATAATTTTGAATTAAGGTGAAAACTCTTTTATCATTCCAAAATTTGTTCTGTAAAAATATTTCTGTTATTCGAAGGGTGATTTATTTATTTATTTATTTATTTATTTACTGAAGGCTGATTTACCTTCAAGACAGTCTCTGAGTTTTCAAGTCCATTTTATAATGGACTCTAGAATTCAGAAAAGCACAGGGAATCATGGTGCACCCTTGTAATTTTAGCACCCCAGGGGCTGAGGCAGGAGAATCCCCAAGAATTTGAAACTAGCCAGGGCTCAATAGTGAGTTCAAGGACAGGCTGAACTACACAGTGAGACTCTGTCTCAAAAAAATTCAAAGCAAGCCTTTTCTTCGAATTCCTTTACTCTTTCCCTGTTGTAAGTCATGACAATAATGGGAACTTTGAAAACAGATAAACAACTTTGGGATTAAAACATAAATCTGATTTTTAAAAAATTTTTATTTATTTTTGTGTGGAACTGGGGATTGAACTCAGGACCTTGTGCTTGCCAGGCAAGCGCTTATTCTACTGAGCTATCTCTCCAGCCCTGTAAATCTGATTTTGGAAAAGCAGAAATACAGTTTTTCTGTAAGTCCCTGAAGATATTTTCCTACAAAGACATCCTTTACATACTTTTTTCTCAAAAAGAACTTCAAGCAAACCACAAGGATTGTTTTTGCTTAAAAACATGGGTATGGGAGAAAA